TTCACCATTGCTATGTAATCAAGTAATACAACCTACTTTTACTAAACTCATTTCTTCCAAATTCGCTTTTCCTAAACTCATATTCTGTCAAACAAGTCGTTAGTACCTTGTCTTTTATATAACTATTTCCAATATAAGCATTAAGGAAATTTAAAGGGAAAAAAAATTAAGGAAATTTAAGCACTACATAACTGGATCAATGCATAGAATTCTGCTTCAACTAAAAGGAACCAAAGCTAGCAAAAACTTATTAGTTGCCTTTTGGACATTTCATTTATAATCAACATTCACCATTGCTATGTAATCAAGTAATACAACCTACTTTTACTAAACTCATTTCTTCCAAATTCGCTTTTCCTAAACCCATATTCTGTCAAACAAGTCGTTAGAGACTAAAGGAAAAGTTGGAAAACTTTAAAACTACTAGTATTCACAATCTTTAATCAAAAATTAGAAGTCTCTAGTTTCTTCATATAATCATATTTTATGAATTTCAAACTAGTTAAAAAATAAAAGAAAAGGTTTGAAAACCTTAAAACTACCCAGTATTCACAATTTCTAATCCAAAATGAGATGTTTGTAACTCCTTCATAAGATCATGCTTTACATATATAAAAAATGAAATACTTTGTTTATTGTACCAAGTAAGAGAATGCCAAAACTCCCACAACATACTAAATATCATATCATCAAATTGAGTTATGATCTTACTATGTGAAGACCACACTATTGGAGTCGAAGCCTATTCCATAACATGGACCAAAACAAAACAAAATCTAGGGTTAAGGTTAGATATATTTTTTCTTTTTACACTTTAATCCCCATATTTATACCTCTTTTTTACATGAGTCTTTGTCTTTTTAATTTTTTTAATTTATTATTAAATTGATCTTAATTTTTAGAAATTTAAATATTTTGTATAAAATATAAATAATTTAATAAATTATTATATATATTATTCGGTTCGGTACGGTTTTTTATCGGTTTTTAATTTCTAAAACCTAAACCATACTAAAATATTCGGTACGGTATTACCTAATACCAAAACCTATAATATTTATAAAAAAAACCTAACTTTCGATACGGTACGGTACAGTCCGGTTCGATTTTTTAAAATCATGAACACCCCTACCTGTCTACACGCACTAATCCAAAAGGCCTGTCGCTTTCTTGGAATTTTGCAGTCACGTTTGGGGTTGTATGACCTGAAACACGGGCCAAACATATTTTTTCCAAAGACCTGGAAGAAAGAGGACCGCCGACCAACGGCTCCATCGAGGACTTGGGTCCGCCGGGTTTTACACGGGGAAACATTTTGCTATTTTAATTAATGGTCTTTTAAAATTAACAATTATAAAATATATTTCATATATTAAACAATTTCTATTTCTGTCGATTTCCTTGAAATTAAATAATTTTAATTACAAAATCATCATTTTAATATTTAATTTTTAACAAATAATAGTAATAATTTTACAATTAAAATAAAAGATGAGAGTTAAAAATTAATTTTTCCCCATAAATTGGTCCAAGTCACAGCCCTTTATTTTCAACGGATACAAATGTGAAACCTGAGAAGGCAGACGGCCAGTCCACGTTATCAATTAAGGCTGATTGATGCCACCACCCACTTCCTTCCCAAAGAGAATAACATGCAATAGATACGCGGTGGATACGGATCCTCCGCCCTTTAAAAAAATTGAAAAAGAAAAAAGGAAATTGAGGGCACGTTTAATTTCAGAAAATATTTTTTATTTTTATTTCTTTCTTTTATTTTTATATTTTTTATTTAATAATTTTAATTTTACATTAGTTCATAATTTATTTTTTTTCATATTACTCTCCAATATTCTAATTTTTTCATACAAACATCTATCTCAAAAATAACATACAAAAATATATCTCAAAACTATAAGCCAAAATAATAATCTCTTTGATATTATAGTTTTTGAGATTTCACTTGTGTTAAAATAAAATATGTCAAAGTATAAAAAAATTAATTTTTTAAATTTATCTTTCAACTACCCAGTACTTGACTCCTAACCAAACAGCCCTTTCTCTAGAGACATGTCTCAAATTTTCTCCCCAAGACATATTTCAATATAATTTTATTTATTAAGAAAGCGGCTGCATCATCGACCAATCAATAAAAGCAAATTATTATTATTATTATTATTATTATTATTATTATTATTGATGACATGTTCTCATGGCGACTGCTCACAGTACTTCGTGATAGCCAATATACAGAAAAAATAAGAAAAATTTGTTTATTATTAAGACATCTTTACCAAATTAATCACTTTTACATGGTTTTTAAAAAATAAAAATATAGTTTTAAAAAAAAGAATTTTCCATATTTAGTCTCAAATCCTCTAGTTGTCTATCGGTACATGTAACAACCCAATTTTTAACTTTATTGGGTTCAAGGACTTATGTGAGAAAATTGAAACTTTCGAGGGGTGAATCAAAATTTTCACAGAGACCTTGCTATGAGAGACACAAAGTCCAGGGACCAAGCTTGCAATTTTCAGAAAATTTGTCAGGAACAGTGGCCAAATACTGTTCCTCATCGATTCGGCCACGTTTTGTGATGATTCTAGCCGGCTTTTGGCATGTTATTGCGTGTATTTGAAGGGTCAATCAAACCCCTCATTCAATCGGGAGTTTTGAGAGAGGGAGAGGAGGAATTTTGGAGGTTTTAGGCCGACGGGGGGGTGCGGGCGGCCGATGGCTTTCGGAGCTTTTGGGGAGCTTTTTGACCAACTTTTTCACCGATTGAAAAGTTCATGAGGCTCACTGGAGGGTGTCCTACAAGTTTCGTATCTTGATCGGCGAGGCGAGGCTATTTTCTTTCCATTTTTTTCTGGCTTTTTGGTTCCAGGTCTGTTCAGACCCAGACGGCTATTTCGGGTTGTTCTTCCAGGCGACAAGGACAAACTCGGATGAGGATCCGGGTTTGGGCAGGTTGGGTCCGACCCGAGCCAAAGGGGTTTGGTTGGACTGGGCTAGTTTGGGCCCAGTCCCAAGTGGGCTTGGTCCATGGGCCAGCCCACACAAAAAATAAAAGAGAAGAAAAAGAAAAAAAATGAGGGTTTGACTGAACTGGCCAGTTTAGTGGTCAATTGAGCTTGGATTTGGGAAGATGGACCGGTTCTGGGTTCAAAGGGATGAGGGCTATCAAACCAAGTGGGTTCAGGAAATTTTGGGTGGCTGGTTCGAGGTGAACCGGCCAATTTAGTGTGTTGTCCTTTGGGTGACCGGTTCACTGGTTTTTAGGCCGGTTCTTGGGGAGTTTGGACCGGTTTCTGGTCCAACATGATGAAACCTAGCCAACCATGAAGTTTGGTGATTTTTGGGTGATCGGTTCAAGGTGAACCGGCCTCGGTTTGTGTGCTAGTACTTAAGATTAAGGTTTTTGGCCCGGTTTAGGGCCGGTTCAAAGCCTTCTTGGTAGGGTTAGACTGGTTCCTAAAATTTTTGAGCCTTCTGAATCCTATTTTGAGGGTTTCGTGGCCATTCGAGTTGAGTTTGAGATAGTTTTAAATCGAGTTAGGCGGTTCAAAGGTTTTGGAGACCGGTTCACTATAACTGAGGATTTTGGAGGTTAGTTTAATAGTGTTGTGGACTGTTGAGCTGGATGGTTGTACGTTAGTGAGTCGAGTAGGTTCTGGTGATAGGTCATGTTTCCTCGAGATGCGTGCCAAGGTGCCGATTTAGGATTTGAGTCTGATTTGAGGCTACCGAGCCTATTTCTTGTGCCGATTTTGTCGTTGGTGATGGTTTTGTGTGATTTTGGTTATAGATACACCGGTGGAGGTGCATCCGGGTCAGCAAGTTGAGTAAGGGAGATTGGAAATTTCTTTTTGTTCAACCCTTGTAATGTGAGTGATGATACCCTCTCTGTGCTTGTGTTTTCATACTGTGATTTTCTGACATGATGATTATGTGGTTTGAAAACTGTGTTTTGATTATATGTTACTCGGGATATGTGTTCTGTGTTTTATGAACTGTCAGTGAGTTATGTTAGTATATGATGCTAGTTTTTGAGACATAAACTGTATATGCATATGTATACTTATTTTTGACTGTATGTGAGGATGGTACCGTGTGGTGTGCTGTGATTTGGGGACGGTAGGAACTCGATTAGAGTGCAGTAATCTGTAGCATCCAGTGGTGAGTCGATCTAAGTCCATGAGGGGACGGTAGAGACTCAACTGGAGTACGGTAATCCATAGCGTCTAGTGTTGGGTAGGCCTGAGTCCAGTGATGTGATTTGATATTTGGTTGATGGTATTCTTGAGTGCATGTTGTTATGTTTTACTGATCACTGTATGCGTATGATTTTGGACTTGTGGCATAATGTATATCCTGACATGCATAAATTAAATATCATCTGTACTTACTAAGTTTCGCAACTCATAGTTTTAAACTTTCTAGATTTTGGTTGCTGTCATCGTCTCGAGTAGCGTGCTAGTTTTCAAAGCGACTGTCAGAGGATTTGATAGATGTACAGGCACTGTTTTTGTATCTGTTCTTTTTGTATTTTAGAGTAAATTCCTTATACTCTCAGACAAGATCTCAAGTGGTTTAGTTGTTGTATTGTTTACTTAGTATATATTTTGTACCTTCAGAATTTAACTAGTGTGGTAAAGCTTACTAGGGTTGGTGAACCCTAGTGTCGGTCACAAGCCTGGGGTTCGGGGCATGACAGTATAATATAAAAATATTTGAAACATTTAAAAATGAAATCAACATCCTAAATTTATTTGTAGCTAACGAAGGATTTTAAAACATAAGACTCCTCTTTAAGAGAACTTGATTTAAGGTGTTCAAGAAATCCAAATAAGACACATTAAATTGATTAATTTGTGATTTAGTTTAATTTAATTTAATTAGCAAAAAGATATTTAATGTGAAAAAACTGTCCACCGTATAAAAGCCTCAGTTGGGCAGCTCTCTGTCCTCCGAAGTCTTTGCTCTAAAATTCCAATGGAGATTCACATTCAAACTCCCCTCTCACTCATCCTCCTCATCCCTTTCTTCTCCTTCACCTTCCTTTCATTATCATCCAAGCATGCCACCAAGTAGACAGAGACGCATTGCTGGATTTCAAACGCTCAATCACTTTCGACCCTATACATCTCTTAAAAACGTGGACAAACTCCACCAATTGCTGCGCTACCTGGGATGGCGTCGCCTGCGACCCCTCCTCTGGCCGAGTCGTCAATGTCTCCCTACCAGCTCTCTCTGACAAGGTTCACTTCATGAACGGAACTCTCTCTCCTTCTCTCGGCAACCTCTCTTTCCTCCAGCTTCTAGACATCAGCCATCTCAAGCAACTCTCCGGCCCAATCCCTCCTGAGCTCGGAAAACTTTCACGCCTCTCTTACCTTTACCTCTGTAACAACGGTCTCTCTGGTGAGATTCCGGCGTCTCTCCGGCGACTCACCCGGTTGAAGGAACTTCATTTGCATTTGAACTTTTTATCTGGCTCTGTTCCTTCGACTCTGTTCCATTCTATGCCTCTGCTTTATGACCTGGGTCTTTCGTATAATAATCTTTCTGGCGTGATTCCTTCTTCGATTGGAAAATTGATTTCTCTAACCAGTCTTGACCTACGATCAAACAGGTTCTATTTATGTTAGATATTGTGCTTTTTCCGCCCCATAATGCACTGAAAATATGATTTTTTTTAACTTAAATTTAGCTTTTTCTTTCTCCAGTTTTTCCAAATTCAATGAATATTATATTTTCTCAGCTTAATATATTTTTAAGTCTTTACCATATCTAATCCAATTTTTGATGTGAAAATTAGATTTTTGTACTCATTCTAATTTTTGGAATCAGAGGACCGCACGGGTAGCAGTTTCCATACCTTCTGCGGAAAAATTTTCAAAAAGCAAGTTTCGGAATTATCATAAATTATTTTAACTTAGAAATGAAAGGGGTATTAATATGAAAACAAAAGAGTGACGAAGATTTTAATTATATTTTGTTTTTGGAAACACAATAAGAAAAGCTCGAGTAATTAAATTATATCTAAATTTTGACATGTATTACAATTTCCACGAAAACAGGTTCTCGGGTAATATTCCAAGGAGCATTGGCAAGCTCAAGAACCTCCGATTCCTTTATTTTTCTGAAAATCAATTTGGTGGAAGCATCCCTTCGTCCATATTCGGTCTTGCTTCGCTGGAAGATCTTGATTTAAGAAATAACAACCTCACCGGAAAATTACCATCGTCCATCGGAAAGCTCACCAATATCCGGACGCTATTTTTTGATAACAACATGCTCACTGGAGAGCTCCCTACGACCATCGGAGATCTCGCCAATCTTCAGGGTTTATGCCTGTCGGGGAACCAATTCTCCGGTGAAATTCCAATTCGGCTTGCCAAGTTGCACGATTTAGAATACTTGGACCTGTCAAGCAATGAATTGACTGGGAAATTGCCTCCGTGGATCGGAAACATGACAAGACTTGACTATCTAAACCTCTCCTACAACTGCTTTCATTCGTCAATCCCACATGAATTCAAGAACTTGTCAGGGCTAGGTGTCCTTGATCTCCATTCAAATGAGCTCTCGGGACCTATAAACACGATTTTTGACAAAAAAATTAACGACTTTGGGCGGAATTTTGAAACCATCGACCTCTCCGACAATAAATTTTCTGGTCCCATAGATGAAAATATCGGTGAGAAACCAGCCATGGCCTATATTATATCTTTGATTTTGTCGAACAACCCGTTGGGAGGAATGATACCGAGGTCACTTGGGAACTTAAGTTACTTGCAGGTAAGCGTTACTTTTGTGTAATAATTCTATGTTCGTATCAAAGTATTCTAAAAATTTTATTAAAATTATAAACAATTGCAGGATTTAAAAATGGCGGGGTGTGGACTTTCCGGCCTGTTCGAACGTTGATTACCAGAGAGTTTGATTGTAAGTTAAATTTTATAATTATGTTTTGCAGTCATAATTTTTAAGGTACAGTAACTCTAAAAAAAATTTTTAGATGGTGATGTTTCTGACTTATGTATATTTCTACAATTATTTCAACGGTGTTGACTTGGGATGGCCATGTTATGCCTCTAAGGTTGGCCATGTTTGTAGAAGCGATCTCTAAGGTTGAGAGCTTAGGATGGAGGGTTTAAGGCTACAAGTTTAGTTTTTATGTATTTAGAGTTTGTAGGGCTGCGAAATAAGAGATCTTGAAAAAAATTGCAAAATAAAAAAAAAATTCAAAAATAAAGATACATATTAAAAGTTATACATAAAAGGGCCATGTCTCATATCCTACTCAGAAGTCGCTGGTACTCCCTCGCTCAGAGTGCACTAGTACCTTATACGATTGCAATCTGGAAAAGGATGGAAAGGGGTGAGTATGAACCCAATAAATGATAATACTATTCTACCATGCGAGGATATGCAGAAAGGCAAAGTAAACACATATTTTGCCTCGATTAACAAACATAATTTATCAAAACACCAATTCGAACAGCATGGAACATATCACGGATCTCATCTCATGACAGTCATGGCACATCGGAGGTACCAGAATCATAGAACCACGTATCACAGATCACATCTTATATCAAGATCCCATATCAGAACTCATATCAGAATCATAGAAGGCACGTAGTGTCGGAACACCACCATGTTCATCAGAGTCAGAAATCAGAGTACTATCGACATTCAGGTTTAAAAAACATAATTAATTACATATATATATATATATATCTAATAGAGGCATTTCATACAATACTAAATGTTTCACAAAGTTCAGCACAAATACCACAATACAAGTCCTGAGCTAATTTTTAAAAATCATGAATCAAATTTTTATTAGATAAGGAACAACCAGATTTTAGTTGCATACACAGAGAATAGCAATATCACTCACCGTACTCGCTAAAACTAGAATCCTGAAGCTCTGAGTGACAGTTCAAGGGCCGAGGCACATTTCCCAAGGTTTATTTGTAATTAACACAAATATAAAATCAGAACCACAGTCAAAACCCTCACCCAAGGATACTCACCCACGGAACGACCCCACTCATGCATCTTAGACTACATCCTCATCCTCGCAACCCAAGACTAGCCATCGCCTAATTCCACTTTAGGTAAAAACCTCGAACCTTAGGTGAACTAGCTTCCAAATTCCCATGAGTCGACTTGAATTGGCCTCCATTTCGCATAAACCAGCCTAACCAAACCTTCAATACCCATGAACTAGCCTCCTAAATACTGGACCGATTGGGATTCCCATAAAACCAAACTGAACCAGCCACAATGCTTTTAAAACCAAGCTGAACCATCCATGATACCCATGGAACCGAACTTAATCGGGCTTGAATCACTTGAATTTGGACTGAACTGGCTGAAAATCCTATGATTTTGGATTGAACTAGCCTTTACAATTACAGAACTAGAAATAATTCAAATTCTTGACTAAAATTTTAGCTTAAATCGACCCCTTAAAGCACTGAACTGGCCATTACACCTTAAAAATCGGCCGGTTCAACCACTGTTCTCACAAAATCTTCAACAGGCCGGTGGTTCCCCAGAGCCCCATCCGGCTTAGCTTAATTTACTTAGCCCTCAGATGCCAGAACCAATTTAATTTTTCTAAAAGGAATCAAAAACCCTGGGAACTGGCCAGACACCCTAAAATAGACCTAGAACGCGTCCCGAGGTGTCTTCCTAGCATCAGAAACCCGAGTCCCCAACTCGGGTGCTGTAATAGAAAACTCGACACATAACTAAGCTAAAATTAACCTAATTCAAGTTCATCTAATTCGATTGAAGGCTGGAGATTGCAAAACTGATCCCGACGATGAAGTTCCCCAGCTGAATTGAAAGAAAATGGCTCGAATCTACCAAAATTTTGCCAATCAATTCTTTCGGTTCCTGCCAGCCTTCCGACGACACCCAAGTCTATTTCTCTCAACTTTTCACACCTCACACCAAATTGTTCGCGAAGTTTGGTCCCATAGATATCGAAGGCAACATTTACATGCAAGAAGCTAGCTAGTGTGTATTATTTGGGCCAAAATTCGGTGCTCGAAGTGCTCAATTGGTGATCGATCGAACTCTTCCCCTGTCACAATCTGACCCCCTCAATTCAATTCTTCTCCATTTTGGTCCTTCGGTTCTTTAATTTAGGTCCTTATGTTCCAGTGCCTTTCCACCTCAAACCTCCCTTTTATATTTCCTTCAATTTCGCTATTGAATTTTCCAAATTTGGCCCCAATCTCCTCGGATTCCTCAGTTAACCCCCCTGTCTCTGAATTTATTCATCTGCACCCCTTATAACTCCTAATTAAGCCCCGTTTACCCAGATTCTCACAATTTCGCCCCACCTAACGTACTACTTAATCCCTTAGTTTATTTAGTTGGGTCGTTGCAAATAGCTATGGCTTGGACTACTCTTGAATCACTTTTAACTAATTGTATAAAGAAGTGGCTATCTCCTTTACAATGGAAAGCATTGAAAGAGGAACACAACTAGAGGGAGTGATTTGTAAGAGGTTTGAAGACGCTCGACCATAGGGAGAAGAGTGTCTTCTACTTGATAAAACACTCAAAATGCCAAGGACAAGAGAAAGAGACTAATACTAAAGTAGTTTTATGGTTCAATATGAACGTGGAGAATTTGTTGGCTGTATTCAACAACTAAACCAAAAAATATTCCTTCATGAAGGAGTTGATTTTTCTAAAAAAAATCTAAACTTGGGAAACTGATTTTTTCCCCCAAAAATTAGAGTCCTAGTAATTAATTTTACAACAAGCACAATAATTAACCCATTTTAATAAATAATTATTTAAAAATCTATTTTGATAAATAAAAAATATAAATATAAAATTTCCCACATATCAATTCCTATTGAAAGACAAGTTACATATAAAAAAATAATTTATAAGGGATGGCCTAACCTCTTGATGAAATTATATCTATTTGTATTTATTGTGCAAGAAGTAGAGATTATCAATAGGACATGACATGTATTTGACAAGAAGTTCTAATTTAGCATATTAATAATTTCATAATCTTTTCAAGACTAGTCATCAAACAGAGAAAATCAGCGAAACAACTCAATCCTTTTATTATATCTAAATAATATGAAATTATGAAAAATTATAAGAGTGGAAAGAGTGAAAATATGCAATGTCAAGTCGCTCAAACTATCGAGAGAGACAGGTAAACTCTTTCTCATATTATGATATGGTCATCCCCAGTCACTGTACAAGTCACTCAAACTCACCTGCCAACTCCACCCTTCTGCTATTAGGTAAGAATCTTTTCAAAAACTCAGTGTGGAACTTGTCCTAGGTCATCGAAAAGGATCCTATCGATTTAAGAGTTAGCTGATGATCATACCAAGCTTGAGCTACCCCAAAGAGTCTGAAAGCTGCTAGTTGCACTCGTTGGGTATCAAAACATTGAAGGATCACAAATATCTTTACTAATGTGTCCAAAAATTCATACAGGTCCTCTTTTGCATTAGAACTAAAAAAAGTAGGAGACTCCATTTGTAAAAAGTCACGAAAATATCTATCAAACTCGGACCTGCACTGATTCGGTCCTATCACACTAGAATTGGGGTAGTATTCGTTGAGATGCTAACTGGAGCTAGCAATCTACTTGAACTGGCAATATTCCCCATAAACTCGGTCATAATACGCTGAAGTCCTTGAATACCTATCAGAATACCAGTCAATACATCAGGACCCGCAGAAGAAGTAATAGTCCCTTCCCCTCCCGTCGGTGGAGGGTTTAACCAACTCGAGGGATCCCCTGACACTCCCGAGTCTACCGTATCGTGAGGGGGCGTAGGCGTATCGCATGGAAGGTCCATCTATGAAACAGAATGACAATTTAGTTCAGTATCAAAATAAATGATATTCATGAATTGACACAGAACGCTCCCTAGGAGGTCTTCGACAGTCTATTTATTATGAACATAGAGCCCTCACTATCATAATAAAAACATTGTTGAAGAGCCTAGCTCCATGTACCCTCAGATTTAACCTAAGCTCTAATACCACCACTGTCACACCCCAACCCGGCACATGACCGGCACTAAGGCTGACACCCTAGCCCTAGTAAGCCTCAGACACATATGACTTGTACAGAAGCGACATATCTCGTATTACATATTCAACTTTTAGTTAGATTGTTAAAAATAGATTTATTACAGAACTAGGCCAAACCTTAACAGAGTAGTACATGGAGCTACTAAAACACAAAGGAAAGATATGCAAGATATTCGTGCCTCGCTATCAGCGCGGAAGACTAGAACCGGCTCATTGGAGTACTCGACACTTGATCGGAACTACAATTTGGAGAGAGGGAAAAAAGGGTGAGTATAAATCCAATGAATGACAAAGCTATTCTACTATGCAAGGATATGCAAGGGACACAGTACATAGAATATGCCTTGATTAATAATATAATCAATCAGAGCATAGTATCGAACATAGCACATGTCCAAGTATGGGATACATCACAGATCTCATTTCACAGTAGCCATGGCACATCAAAGGCATCAGAATCACAAAGTCACATATCACGACTCACATCTTATACAGAAAACCAATAGTAGAACTCATATCAAAATCATAGAAGGCACATAGTACTGAAACACCACCGTGTTCGTGAGAGTCCGAAATCAAAGTACTCTCGACATACGGGTTCAGAGATCACACATAAACATATATATATCTGACAAAGGCTCTTCATGAAATACTAAACATTTCACAAAGTCCAACACATATACCACCAATACATGTCCCGAGATGAATTTTTGAGATTAGAAATTAAAGCTTTATCAAATAAAGAATTAACAAGATTTTAAAAACACACACGTAGAGAATAGCAATGTCACTCACAGTATTTGTCGATGCTAAAAATCTGAAGC